AGCCCTTTAAAAGCCAGATGCCTACTCTGTTCTGGGCTCTGCATTGGTTCCCATACCAAGCGACTCCGGGACCTGGAAGCGCCTGGTCCCATCAAGGTTTTAGTTCCTGTTCCCGTGCCGGTTCTGATCCGGTTCTTGTTTTTATCTTGTCTGTCTTGGATGGATCGCCTAGCTTTGGACTTTTGCCCCATTTGGATTCCCCTTTTGGACTCAGCTCTAGATTGTTTGCCTTGGCCACATCTCCCCCGAACACCAGCACACCATGGACACGTTCCCTGTTTTTAATTCCCGACTCCCTCATGCTTTTTTCCCCTTGTTTTCCTCACTCATCCCCGGATTGTGTCATCTGCATTCTGTCCATGAGTGTGGCAGATCATTGATGCCTTAGCCATCTGAGTCAATAAAGTGGCAGAGTGGGCACAGCAACAGATGATGATTGAATAAACCAGGGGTTAAGATTAATATCTGGATCTCCTCCAGATGCCTGCAAGTGAATTACTTTGATTCAAGGTGTAAGTTCACTTTTTCGGGTTTGTGTGTCACTTCTGCAATATCAAGCCTGGCAACCAATCTGATCATTTATTGAACAATGTAAAGATAGTTCTCTCTATGGGTAGTTCACAAAATACTAAAAGAGTCACAGCCTAACAGAACAATTCATTTCATGGAGAACATCAGGAAAAAAAGATCCAGCTTTGTTTGTACTGATTGATGTCATTACTAAGTACCACTGAACATTCACATAATCCTAGTTCATTCTGTTCACAATTATTGTTTAATTCTGCTGTTAACTGATTTAACAGTTATGTATAGTAAATAGATCTCTGATATCCCAAAGTACGTCAGAATCCTCAATATTCCAGAGCAAAACATTATTCAATTCAAGTCAAGCAATATATAAACACTCAGTGTTTATTGTCAGATGTTCAAACTGAGCACTTTCATGGGTGAAAGAAAGTAAATGTCAGCAAATCCTGCAAAAAAAAAGCCAAAAATAATATTATGACCCAACTATTCACACATTTTGTGACAGGTGACAGATATATATAAGATATACCAAATTACTTTGAGAAATCATGAAAATAGTTAAAAGGCCCTAGTCAGAGTGCAATAGTGGATCACTATATCACTATTGCTAAAGGTCCCTCAGTCAGGCAGTGATTGCAGGTAAAGATTCAATAATGAAGACCAGGCAGCTTTCAAAACAACTTTCCAATCAGGAGAAGGATATACAAATCTCAAATATGCCAGATATCCCTTTGAACATGGGGAAGTTGTTCAATAAGAAGTGAAAGGTATACTTTACCACCCTGACACTTTCTAGATCAGGAAGTGTCTTCAAATTCAGCAACCTGGCAAGGATGAATCTGGTTGGGGATGCCACAGTGACACAAACTAAATTTGAAATAGATACAGAGTTCAATGACTTAGATGGCAGAACTCAGTCAACAATATCCTGGTCATTCCAAAAAGTCAGACTGTAGAGTGACAATGCTATATTGTATCCCATATGGAGATTACAACAAGCATTTAATTAATGGTGCAAACACGTGGCAAAATGTTTTATGGTCAGATGAGGCAAAACTGGAACTTTTTTATTCGAATGCAAAATGTAACATCTGGTGTACATTATGTTGTGCTTTCCATCAGTAGAGACTAGGGCGATTGTGATTGATGGT